ACCTTAAACATTTAGTTTAATGAAACTGTGGAAATCATTTTAATACATCGAATATAACAATTCGAAAATAAATAACATTGGTAATAAAATATAAAGAGAACCAATAGCGTGAGTTGTTTCAAGGACAACGCCCACGCAGTTTATTTATCATGTGTGTCATATTACGTCAAAACGTTTATAAAAATGACCTTTAAATTTGTGATTTGAGGTGACCGGTGGTGAAACGTAGCAATAATAACTAGTTAGTTTTTTCACTTACTAGCAGAATCCCTGCCACTATGACATGTGATATACCTAAAGACGCGTAAGAAATTAAATATGACGTAGAAATGATTACAGTGGCATTGACGCATTCACGTCTTATCTTCTTTTGGATCTTGAAAGTCTCATTGTCCTTTTATCATCTTTTGTTTTCCCATTCGATTACTTTTGCTCCATTCCCTTCATTATGTTATAGTGAAGTGAAGAGTGGCAACTTGGAATTCTATAAAATTATGCCAGGTCTTATATTTTTCGTGTCTAAACTAAATTGTCACGGTATCCTGGCTCGTTTGAACACGAAGAAAATTCTTGGGCTGGTGAGTAGATGATAACCGTTGTTGCTGTCAGGTCCCAATTGTTCAGAACTGATCGAAGTCTTCCAGTCAACTTTGTAATGTAACCACCAAGCTGATTAGCATGACACTATGATGCACTGTATCTTATTGTTAACAGTTTATCAGCAGGAAGACATGGCTGATCTGAGTGTCATACTTGCTCGCACTCATCAACAAGGAAATGCAAACCACTTTGGAGATTTGAACAAACATCTCAGAACTTACCACAGGCTATTCGTATCATAACTAACCCCCTGTAAGACTAGAATATGTACATGAACAGATCACTAGATAGTAACCAGTGTAGCTGTCGAACTCAGATTACTCAAAGTATTTCGACCAAGTATGTACAATCATTCCCTATGACCACAACGGCCAGTAATCAAGAGTATTGCTAAACTGAACTTAACTAAAGTGGAAGTCTTAGGTTCTCGAAGTACTTCTATATTAATCTTACGAAGCGACCACCAAGTTTCCGGTCTGATGCTCTACCAACTGAACTACGAGGCCCGACTTATGAATAGATTTTTCTTTCACTTCAATTACCAAGGGTTTTGCCCGATTACCATGTGAATTTGTGAAGCAGCACTACTGCTTGATCATACTCACGCTGGCTACTTCTCATTTCAATCCAAATCTAACTGAATTAGAGAAGGACATTATCATATTGATTATCGTTTTGACTAACTAAAACAGCCATGGTTTGGCAGGTGAAATGAAGATTTGGACCACCGTTTAAATCCTACTGCGGTCCAAATTTTCATTTCACTTTCAGTCATCGCCCAGTATCAATATTAGTCTGGTAAACCACGGCTATCTCAGAATGTCAAAATGATAATCTTACGCAGGCTAATTTTCCAGATGGTTGTGCTACACCTGAAATAGTTCCTAACTTTTTCGAAATCCCGGCTATACTTTACTGAAATTTTTCTTGGTAAGTATAAACTCCTAGTTACTCATTGTACTAATATCTCTAAAAGCATATTAATAAGGTGATAAATCACAGCACTCTAGAATAACTAACCAATAATTGCCACTACTGTGAGAAACTAATAAATAGCAATGAATAGTAGGTATTTTAACGTCAAATAAACTTCTAAACTTGCATCACATAATTTGGATTTGAACCTTGTTCTACCTACTAAGGTTTCAGCATGCATGCAGCACAATTGGCACTCATACATTCGTTGTGACTCACTGTTTTGTGAATAAACTTGCACATGGTCACTGAGTTATACATCTACAACTCACAGTGACCGATAGACGGAGAGTAACTAATTTCATGCTATCCAGTCCCCAATGCTACCTGAATTGCATCGATCCAGTCAACTGTGGCCCGAATAGCGAAGCTGTAGTCTCTTAAACTGCAGCACTTGGTGACTGACTTTCATATCTCTAAGGTGGCATCAATTCCCTTGAGATCCTGAATACTCCTTATTGATGAGATTCAACAAGCACAACCCAAGTGCAAAGCTTCGTTCGGACTATCTCCAACTGCCAAGTATATGTTCAATCTCCCATAGTCACAGATCAAATTTTCATTAAATAACGATATTTCCTAACAAAAGAATCAGCAGGATATTTAGTAAGTTTATTTGATCTACGGAAAAAGAAAAGTAAATTTAGTGTCTATTGAACAGCAAGCGCTACAACTAGATCTTTTACTGTTCAACGATTAGTCACCTTCAGAGATTCATTCGGGTTAGGACAGAGAAAAACTAAGGCAACCATTAACTCGACTAGGCTTTGAAGTAAGCCTTATCTCAAGTACGTTAATTACTTAAGACAAGATATGATACTCACCCCCAACTGCTTATATAATAATCCCCAGAAAGTATTTATGACTTTATTATGGTTTACATACACTATCCCAATCAGAATAATTGATGACTCAAAGATGCATTAGTTATGAGTAAACTGATTCGATAAGAATTTGCCAAGGATTATCCCCACCTAAAAACTACTATTATGCTATAATTTGTTTGGTGGTTAGCAAAGAAATTCAGGATGTGCATTTCATCCTGGACGTACTTGTATCCCAGTCAGTAATGGTGTCTCTCAAACCCAGTACCTATCATCGCTTCAGTTGTCAGAGAGTTAACTACTAAGCTGATGAGTCGCTCCTAACAACCATTCAAAAGCTTGTATGCTATCACAAATCGATTAATTCGCTCCAGCAAAATAACCATTGAGAAATTACAAGTACCAATTATGAAATGATTACGGTTGATTAATTCTTATCCTCTTCATCTCTTTAACATGTTTGGTGAGTTTTTATTGAGTATTGCTGAATCACCGGATCATGAATCTTTATGTATATACTACGCTAATTTCATGCTATAAACATTATTACTTGTTTTATAGTGTATTTTTCTAACTTTCAATAAAGTTAGTCATGAATTTTGTAGTGCTTACTTACGTCAATTTATATATAGCTATGGTGAATGCATCTAGACTATTTGTATTCTGGAGCGAAAAAATCGTCTCTTGATGTGAAAACTTACGAAGATAAGTGAATGCTCGGAGGAGTGGTTCACTAATTTAGGGAGTTTACTTTCAACCAATGGGTGGCAGGTTCAATCACCACTCCACCTACCTAAGTTTAGGCAGCCAGGTAGTATCATTAGCCATCACACAACAAGTGTGACTCACTATCAACTGAACGAATATGCACAAGTTTGTTGAGTGTTTTTTTAAGCGAATGCTTGGAACTCAGTAGTATTGGTTACATATAATCAACCAAGACTTATTTTCATTTTTGTGATAATGAAAACTGTTTCCAAACTAATCACTTTTTCTCATACCGATTGAAGTGAACAATAATTCAATATCCGCTGGCAAATAACTTCGAGGTAAATTTTTTGAAGTTCCATTGAGAAAACGTAACTGTTAATGTCAACCGATTTGGAAGGGAGAGTTGTTGTTTCTATCGATGACTATTACATACTAATGATGAGAATCAGAAATGCAGTACAAGTTCACATTCTAGTCTATAAACCAAGGTTATTTTATTAAGGGTTATGATACGATCCGAGACCTATTGTTTGAAAGTCTAGTGTGCCGTAAGTAACGTATGTGCTTCGTAACAGTAAGATGCAAAGTACTCTCGTGAGATTGGCAAAAGCCTATGTCTGCGCTCACCCTTGGTGGTGAGCCGTTGGAAGTAGTCGAAGGATTTGTGTACCTGGGTAGTTGTGTGAGATTTCCAACCGTATACCGAAACCCAGTGGGACACGTCAATCTGGACCACCTTTGGCGCAGTTATGACGTTAGTCTGACCGTAAAAAGTTGGGTTTACAACGCGTCAGTGCGAGCAGTTCTGCTCTACGCCTAAGAAACCTGACCTCTCCGATCTGAGGATATGCGACGGCTCCGTGTGTTCAACTACCATAGTCTCCGGTGGCAACACCATGCAAGTAATCCTGAGGTACGACAGAGTGTTTGGTCATGATGGAGATCGTCATTCAATAAGTGAAGTCATCTGAAAACACCGTTTTCGGTGGCTTAGACATGTGTCACGTATGTCGTGCCAACGGCTTCCAACCCGTTCATTTCTTGTTAACTCTGGGACTGGATGGAAGAAGAAGAGGGGCGGTCAGTGTATGACGTGACACCAGGGGAAGAAGGATAGTTGTACTAAGTTAGGATCTGTTGGTTCTTAATGATTCTCTGGGTGGGTCCGAGGAATCATACAATTCAGTGGCTTGAGACATTATCAGATATGGGCCAGAATCGAAACCAGCGAAGATCATGCTGCAGCTTCCTCCTATCTTCTGCAGCTGAAAGATAATGAATGTTTCGTTTCGAATGTACCTTACTGGACTGCCCTTCTAATCATTCTATTTCTATGGTGTTTTATTTTCATCCACTTCCCTTCCCCTTATGTCTTCATAATGTTGTTATATTCTTTCGCAAGGTTCATTTCTTAGCGCCCTTGCTGTACCACATTTGTGTTCTAATAAATAATAAATACTTAAGTGAGCCAGACTGACGACACTAGATAGTAGTAACATGCCGACCACGACATGTAGAATACTCGAGGTTCGCTTCTGTGTAGAGTTCCAAGTGCTGACTATGAACGAGTCTCAAATTGAAAAGAAATGTCCATACAGCGGTACTTAGTTTTCAGTGGTTCTCTAACTGATATTGGGTTGATCTTCAGCTTAGATTTTTCCTAAATATCGTTAGCCTTGATACTGATCAGGAAGTTAATCAATGAACAACCAGTCTGAAATGATAGTTCTCCTATGGCTTTTTTAAAGGATTTCGATACTGGATGGTTTATAGCAGTTTTTTGATACCATTTACTTACTAGCCTCAAAAATATGTCTCATTGCAGCGATAAGTTCTTCTTGTGTATACTTTGCTTTTGTCTCCTTACACCCTTTTTTAACACTCACAACTGTAATGATAAATATATGATAACTATCATATCCAAGGTATCCTGGTGATTTTATGCAAAAGCTACAACCTTATAAAGGTTAGGTCAGTAAGAGATTTCAAAAATGAGTAAATAAATAAAAATACCGAAGACACTGGGAGGAGTCATCTGAATTTATCCATACGGATAGGTGTAAGCGCATCACACACACACACACACACACACACACGCGTAGGCGCGTATACACATATGAACTTCGGAAATATATGCAACACAATAACAAAACAGTAAAATATAGTTTAAAGACTAAAATAAAGTAAAAAGGTTTAAAATTCCAATTGGATAGTTTACATATAAAAAGGAACAAACAATACAAAGTGAAGAGAATCTGCTTATCGACATTATGTTACCTTGTTTCTCAATTAATAAAAAGCAAGAAAGCGGGAGTGAAAATAAACAAAACCGACAAATTAATGAATCTATAAAATTTGTACAAATTGAGTTGTATAGCCTACTGTTGTGCAGTACAGTGTATAATTCAACCTTCTTATTACAATAGAGCATCGTAATAATAGCCGATAAGGAAGAGTAATATATAATGATTAAAAAAATGTTCAGAATGTTAAAAAATACACTTTTATATATTATAGAAAGTAAGGCGTAATTCTAAGAGGTGGCTTAACCCGTTCTTCATCTGGTACAGCATTGAAAAGTTTAGCTTCAAATTGTGTTGGATTATCAAATGCCAAGATTGCAGCAATATTTCCACAACGATAACAGTAATTCGGAGCTGACCAAATAGTGATTAAGCGTCCATCAAACATAGATTTAAAACCTTCATGGACTAGTTGATGAGCTCTACAAATAACTTCTAAACCATTTAATTCTACAAATTTGTGAGTAACCTAAAAGTTTTACAAGCGAAACAGAAAACTCAATTAATGTTGTTAAACTAAATGATTTATATAGATAAACAGTAGTGAAGTGCGGAGGTATATAACAATATCCGGTTGCTTATGTCAAAGTAAATGGAGTGGGAATTAATCTCAGGGTTCATTGTTTTGCTTAAATTAATAGGCCACGCTACTACTAAATGGTATTATCTCGACTGTAATTCCCATTCCCCTTTCAAGTGTGACCGGACAAATGGTAACAACAGTTTTCTAAGCGTCGTTTTTCTTAAAGTATTAGTTAGTGTCAATACGATTAAAAGGTTCACTGATATACAGTCTTGATTTCACTACAAATAACAGAATGAGTCGGAAAACCAGAGTGAATTGGACAAGATCATCAGGTTTCACAGTTACCGAGGTTGGAATCAAGTACTTTAAGCTTTCTACCTTGTTAAAACTCCAGATAGCGTGGTCATCAATCCAATGTCATTGATGAGTAACTTCCTTCACACTTTAAATCCACTCAGTAACTACATGCACGTTCGTGCAGTAGCCAATAAGTCACACCTGTTACGTGAGGACTAATGATACTAACTGACGGCACAAATCTCGGTAGATGAGGCTGGGTATGAACTTGTGACCTACCGATTGGAAACAGACTAGCTACACCAATACGCCACAGTTGCAATGACTTCTAACTCGGCTTGGTTGATTGCATAGGTTATAGCTTTTCAGTAGAACTTAGGGAATTCCATCTGATTAGAAGTCACTAACGAGTACTGAATTGTTTTTAATGAGGTTTTTAGGGAATTGATCAGTTTCAAAGTATTCACCATGGATCGATCGAACCAATGAGAACCTGACTATCAGGTATGCAGTGTTAAAAGGTTGCAAACTAGGAAAAAACAGCAATCCAGTTCTACATGGTTTCGATTCGTCATGCTCACTTCGAAATTATTCAGTTCCCCATAAACCTTACAACTGAATGTATAAGTAGGCTTTTTTGGCAATAAAAACGAATATCTTGTATTGTAAGATTATACACCACCAGTCGCACAACTAGGTCCCAAAAATAACCTGCTCCGAATCTGACTGTTTCATGAGAACTGGTTACGGTAATATTTAATTTAATAGTTTTTTCGGCGAGGGGGGGAGAACCAATGGTAGCAAAATTTAAGTAAAACGTTTTGGTATTATGAATAACCTTCTGATTTAGTTTACATAAATTTCAGTTTTTAAAATTCATGGAAAAGTTACGAGAATTTAAAAACATAGGACAACAAACAGCATTACATGAAACCTGACCAAAGGAACAAGTCACTTAATCGAATGGAGCGTTTCACGTTGAGTAATTCGCGATGATGTAATGACATTAAACGGTCTTATTAAACACCAATTTTGAACCCCATAACAGGTAATTACTACATTTTGACGAGTACTAGGTCTCATGGCATCACTGATCACAAATCTTGGAATTAAATCATTAACATAAGGAAATGGGAGATAAAGTAAGTACGCAAAATTAAACGAGTACATCCAACAGATCATGAAAGATGAAGAAAAAGCAAGTCAACAATGAAACTTCAGTGATTTCATTTACAATACTATATATAATCAAGAATATACACAGTTCACTTGGTGAGTATTTTCGGAATGTTACAGTGGTTTTTTCGGCCCAGTAACAAGAGAAATTACAATAGTAATACTCAAAATGTCGTTCTAATTATGAAGTAATCAAAACAATCTCCGTGTAAAGTGAAGGATTAAACTGATGAGTGACTAAACATGAATCTAACAAGATTATGAACAAATTTGTGTTGAACTTCACAAATGCATAAAACCAACTGATTCGGTGGTACCAAGATTGCAGGGATTACGTCAAATACACAAAGTTGGTCTACCCCTTCTCCTGATTCTGGATATGTAAGGATAGCCCTACTATCCAACTGCTAAATGGCTAGCAGAAATCCTACAGTTTGTAAGAAAATGCTACGTTTGAATTCGCTGGCTAACGTAAAGAAAATGTTTACGGGGTATGTATATCACTTGACCTTGAGTTTCTTTACACAGACGTTTAAATTAAGGAAACCACTTGTTTCATATGCTGATACACTGAAGACAACCTGAATGTCGGAATACCGAGTTGCCATTTGAGAGAATTATTACTAAGATGCAATTTTAATATTCACTTTACATTCAATGGTGATATGATATGCAGGGGAAAAAATGGTATGCTGAAAGAATCTTCCTTAAACGTAGTACAGGCAGACTTTTAAGATAGGTCAACAAAACCTCTTGGAATCTATAACCGATTGCTTTCACCCAAGGAAATTGTATGAAGATGATGCTTTTATTATCTTTGACAGTGAATATGATTTGAATCATGCTTTACATGTGTTCAGTAATTGTCAATCGACTGACAATTTTACTTTCAAGTTGGAAAATGGATCGGAAATTAACTTTCTTGATGTAGCTATGGGATGGTCAATTGTGACAGATATATTTCTGGATAGTTTGGGATAGGTAGCTTTAAGAATATTTAATCTCATTTCTAAGATACGATGAAGCTATATAGATGATACATCTACCCTGTTTAGATTACAATGCGATAATTTTTTTACACAATAAACGCAGTAGTGTACGTGATCTAGTTAACGAGTTCGAAAATGAACATGGGGGGAATTAACCTTGTTGGATAGTAGTGTAAAACGAAAAACCGATAGTCGTTTACTCACTACTATTTAGAGAAAACTTCGGGTCATTAAATCTAATATACGTCAAAGCAGGTTTAACGAAACGTCAAGATGACAGAACTAGAAAACACAATAGTGAAACGAAGGACCTAAATAGGGCATTGAAACACAAGGAGGAAACACTACTGTTTAACAACTGTTCTTTAAAGTTCTTTAGAAAATTCGTAAAAATGGACATGAGAAACGAAGTAGTAACAGTATTGTGAATAATACCTACAATACAGAAAGGATTTCAAAGCTTTCATCATCTAAAATATCGGGAAGGAACATCAAAAACTTTATATGAAATTCTCAACAAGGTTGAAATTAAGATGGCATTCAATCTATGAACTAACTTGGAGACGAACATTGTCGGCTTAAGGATCCTATTGATGCAATTAGATACGATAATTTCATCTATCAGATACCATATGATGACGGAGTAAAATACACAGGTCAAGGCACCCAACTGAGATCGGTTAGATTATTGCATCGTAAGGACTTAGCCTAATTCAGGATGATAGATCCCATTAAAATCAATTAGTTAGGAAGAACTCAACTACTACAATACATGCACTGCCAAACTCACACCATAGGATAAAACAAGACAACTGTTTTCAGTCAAGTGAAGGGAAGGATTGATTACTGAATTTTTGTTCACTGAACAAACATTTAACACGTGACAGGAACGACAACACCTATTCATGAGATAAGGAAAATCCTACCACTACAGAAAACAAAATGAGTTGATTGGACTATAAAAAGCAGATATCGGGAATCGGAGTACAACTTGATACGATTCAAAGAATTATTCTGTGCTCGAAACATCCTCCAGTAAATAATGCTGTATGCTGTACGTCAAGTGAAGAAATATAACACGGACTAACATTTTACCACGTTTTACTCTCACACTAACTTCTGCTATATTTTGACTAATCTTTGCTATTCTTAACAGTCTTGATTGTTTCGAAGTTCGAAAGACAATTTGTTTGTGAGAATGCCCAACAGATCACTGAAACTATCTGAAAATACTCACCAAATAAGTTGCATATATTTGGGATTGTACAACTTTGTAAATGAAATCGCTGAAAGGAGTCTCTTCACCAATCTACTTGAAATATAGAATACTGCTATACTGTCAAGCAGCATGATTTTATTACACTTTAGAAATTCTCAGTACCACTTATATACTACCACTCATTAGTCCTATCGAGAATCAAGACCCGCTATCATATCTGATTTCAGTACGCAATTACCAGTTAGTAGTCGCACTTAATGCCATTAACATACATTCCAATTATAAGCGGAAAATGTTTGCCCATAGATAGAAATTTTCACGTCACATTTACGGTGCATATTCACCATGCTCAAAAGTAATTCTATCTAAAAATAATGATAATCCTTAATAGTACAGTCAGAAAAACATTCTCAATATAAGACCTAAAATTACTGCATAACAGCCTAATTTGCCATACTTCACATCAGATAGATGGTTAAAACAGGAGAGATGAGAGAATGGAAATAAGATTAGCAAAAGTCAAAGAAAGCCATAGGACAAAAACAAAGGGAAGCATAGAACATAATGAAATGAAACACTGTTACGACGAATATAAAGTATAAATAATTCCAAGTCAAACCAATAACAGTCTACAATTATCTACTCATATTGTTTCACGGACCCCAATCACAAGGACTTCATTTGTCTACACTGCCCGGACTAAAAGGTACAAACTTCATGGATCGCTGTTATTTCTTGATGAGGTCATTTTCTTTTTTTTTCAATCCAATAATACTCTAGTTAACATAGTTCCGTGGGGTGTGCAGTCGATATGCGTATGCATCCTATGACTTATACGCCTCAAAAGATGAAGGTTGACAACCTCTGTAACTGAATTATTATAGGATATCTCGACGAAGCTGTAGGTGCCATAAGTTAGTGACAGACAATTGAGTCCTTTGTATGCGTCAAGATTTCGTCGGCCACCTACTCACCATGGCTAATTCGGCTTCCCAACTCAATGAGGTGATGAATGTGCCCAACTACTTCATTCCTTGTTGTCAGGTGAGGTAGGAATGAAAACTAGTCCTGAAGTAACAGTTAGCACACATATGAGACATATACTTCAAACACGAACTAATACTCAACATATTTAAGAGAATCAACATACTATCAGTGCTTAATGTCATGTTTAAATTTAAACTACAGAATCTCGTTCTAGGAGATGAGGAGAAAGAGATCTCCATATACGAGTCTATGATGAAGTTAATTAAAAACTCAGAGTGGACATTATGCTGATTAACGTTGACAACTCGGGATGTTAAGTCAGTGGGAATCTATCAAGCGAATAAAGTATATTAAAAGCTGTGAAAGCGTGTAAAACGCTACAGGTTTATTCGAAGGTTGAAATAAACAGCTCAATGCTAAAAATATTCTATATGAACTTGGCGAGAAATTCTGATGGGAAACGCTAGCTTACACTAGTGACGGATAATTATAACCTAGCATAGCTTCAATTCATGTTAGAGAACATCTCTTAACTTTTATGAAACTAAATGGCTACATTTAATCTTTCGAGAAATAAAATGAGTATATCACATCTCTAGAAATATTCCTTTGAAAAAAATAATGTACGTATCCTGTTTCGCAAGCCTTGTCGTTTCTATTCTATGTAAATTCATGAAAGCAAGCACATGGATTACTTTCAGGCAGAAATTTAATGAAGGATACAAGAAAAACTGTGTGGACACTGGTAATCGCTCGAAAGGGAACGCAGATTAAGGAACTCAGAACAGTGACAATAATACGCTTATATGATAATAATCCCTAGTTACTACTAGGCTTGCTATTGGGGAAAACGAAACGTTGGTGGACATAACAGAGAAAACAATGTTAATTCTTCGGATCAATATATAGAAGGCCCTTAAGGTTTACATGATATAAGATATTTTGAAAAACAGTGAATTAAAATTGTCTTGAGTATTATTTCTTCAAAAGGAAGCTAATGATAATGGAAAATGAGTGTAATCGAAAAACAAATAACAAGGTATCCCTCTGATTGGATACAAACTTGATCGCCAGAAAGCTGCAGAATAATAGAAAATTTTGTTTACTTTCTGGAGGAGAACATTTACCAAAATGTCTTTATTCAGTACGTCTATATGAGAGGCATAAACACCAATGGTTAAGCCTTGTGGTGTGTAGCAATATAAGAAGTTATGAAGGAGCATTTTAATTTGCGAACACAAAAAGTTTATCTACAAACAAAAATAATCAAAATCATACCTTCGGTCCAAATAAATATCCTGCACCACGAGGACTAACAGACCACTGAGCTACATCATCAGGATCAGACCATAAAATATCACATAATGGACCTTTATGGGGTATTTCCATATGTCTGTCTATAGTCCGGATTTGATCCAATGTTTTAATTTCTGGTGACAAACCTCCATGAACACAGAGAACTTCTTCTCCAACCAATGCGGCTATAGTGAGGAGATCAAATACTTTACAACAATAATGCCATGGATTTGCATTCCCATATTTATTGATGCACTCATCATAGAAGCCGTAACACTAAAAAATGGCATAGAGTTTTTCAAAAGGACTGAAGAAATAAATGATGTTTATGAGATCATTGAAAACAATGTATCGGAATCAGTTTTCATTTTTGTATTAAGTGAAAAAGCGTCTCGCCAGACTACAGGCTTGATTACTCCACCTACATGAATTTCCGCAGCCATTTACCTCTCGTATACTAGATGGAATTTACGACTTGGTGCAAAAATCGAAATTCGGTAACCGGGGGGCATCATTATGTGTTCGTGTATCAGTATCTATTTTTCGGATCTTCCTTTCAGTGAAGTTGGGGGGGGGGGGTTTACACAATTGACTGCATGATTATTACAAGATGACAAGAAGTCATGCAGTTTATGAATGATTGAATAGATTGAGGTATAAGGAACGTCAGACCTCTCATACTTGCCTAGTGGTCTAAATGATAACATCTCCCATAGCACAAGGTGCAAGTCAGCACGAAGACGCGCAAGAGGATGAAAATAATATCATTAGTAAATGCCATAATACAAATCCAAAAGGTGATAAGAGGAATAGTTAAATACCACATCATAATTTAGACAAATATACAGTATGAGCGCATTAGCACAAATGTGATCGATTTTGAGCCGCGTTATTGTTTCCCGTCATCTGTTTCGGTTGTTTCACTGAGGAGTATCGACAACCAATCAGCCATCAGCAATGTCGACAGAAATCGCATAACGTCCAAGTATGACAGATTATACATTGGTAGGACGAGAGTTCAGAGGGGTTGAGAAAATAATACTGATATATAACAAGAAACTGGAGTAAGCAGGCAGAAGAATTTTTAAAAAGCATCAATACTGAAAAGACTAACTAATGGTCATTAGATTTAGTCTCCAACTGGGAATTATGAATATGTCGTGAATATTCACGAGGAAACCTACACAACTAAATCTAGAAGCTACAGACTTTGTATATTAGTATCATACTTCGGTCTCATCGCTCTGAAACTTCGTTCATCCTACTTTTATTTCAATCAATAACCCACCTTGAGGCAGGTGGTGACAACAAGTCAAATCATCATTCGGTGATAGTTTACAGTAGACTGCTTTACCTCTTTCTTATATCTGTCTGCACCAGAAGTCGATAATGAGCACACAGTTATCACACTGAACTCAGCAATGCATTGAATAACTTTTTAAATCAGATACTCTCAAATTAGGTACGTTTTTCAGACATATAATGGGACAGGGCACGCGTGCAGTTTACTTGATTCATAACAGACAACCAGATATCCCATATACACCAGATGTGCCGTAACTTGGCAACCAAACTAAGTAGAAATCATTACGTATGTACGTGTGGGGGGTTCGAAACCAGGTCCTAAAGCAACAACTGTTTGTCGTAGGCTAGAAGGTAAGTAGAAAGGTTGCTAGTTCGAATAGAAATATGTTTAGGAAACATTTATTAAGACTTGCTATGCAGACTGGAATCATGTACTAAATGCACCCAATTCTCAAAAATGTCTAAAGAAATAGTTTTGTAATGCAAGAGGATTAATACGTTTAAATTTACAAGAGACTTTGAAAATGACACAGGACTGACAATAGTGCCCCTTACAATCACTTCATAAAACTTTGGTTATGGTGCTAATATCATTACAAAACAATTTCGCCTCATAAATATTAGAAAACTGACGAATAAATGGTTTTCAACCAGTTTCTAATACGGTTCAAGGATGATGGCCGGTTTTTGATGACTTATTTGATAAACAGTAACAACTTTTTGTAATCTGGTGGGTTGTGGCTGGCAGTGAAATTTTCGACTGAAAAATATGAAAATTAGCTTAATCTGCGAATCCAAAGTTAAATAATTACTGGTTTATAACTTTTATTATTTCGTATATCAATCATTCAAACTTAACTGGAAGGTTAAAATTCCTTTAGCTGAAGAGTGATATCTCGAAACTGTCACTGTTTCATGAACCTCCCTAATAATTGCAAACACTGGATGACTGTTTGATACAAGATATGACTATCTATTTTAAACACGAGCAAAAGTACAGTTTTTGACAGGTTTTAATCAAGATTTTTGATCGTTATGTGTAAGATTAATGAGGACAGATAAATATTCCTCCAGATGCTTCTGTAGCATAAAACTCCGAGTTAGCAAGCTAGTGACTGAATTCAGCTTGAGGATGATATAAATGAGCATAAAAAGGTAGGTAATAAGACAGCTCAATGCTTTAGACAATAGAGTTGAAAGAGATAACGTGATAGTTCAGAGCCTGTTATCTAAGAGTATATAACAAGGGAAGGAGTAACAAACAAAGGCCATCAGGGGTCGAGATGCCAACAAACGATGTACAATACAACTGACTGGGAAAAGTAGCTAACTTTGATCTAAACCAAGAAACTATCTTGTGTAGTTCAGTGGTTAGGAATTTAATGAGTGAAGTACTACGTTGCAGAAATTTCGACAGCCTCACTTTTATAACCGAATAACAGAAAAGGAGAAATAACCATGTATCTCAGGAACTAAGTGCATCTTGACACATTAAAAAAAGCCATATCTATTGCCAAGACCATCGATTTTTAATTAGCTGCTTAAACATCTGTAGAAGCTGTGATTTATTGGTTTGGGTAAGTGAGAACCAATTGGTTCAAACTGGTTCAAACCTCGCCCGATCTACCGAGGTTTAGGCATTAAGGTAGTATCATTGGCCCACACACAACAGGTGTGGCCTATTGCTCACTGCATGGATGTATACTAGGTTGCTGAGTGCTCTTCTCAAAACCTCGGCAGATGGAGGGCGGTTTGAGCACGTAACTCACTCGCTGAAGGACGATCGTCTAAAAAGAGGCAAAACATCACAGCGGAAAGTGATCTGAAAAGGAAGCCATGAACAAAATGATTGGGTTACCGACAAAAGGAGAACATAAGAGAGTAAAATGCATTTTTAGAAGGGTTAGTGAATCACCACAAAGAACAGTGGTCAGTCGGAGGACAGCGATTATGATAAATAGATTGCAGATGTAAAGAATGAATTTACCAGCTTTTTATTGTCATAAGGTCTTGCAGTTGACTTTTAACCACCGATTCGTGAGTTTAAACTCTCAACCACCTAAAAATGTTTGGATAGCTAGGTAGAAACACTAGTCGACACCACGCTGGCTCATCGCTCACTGCAAGTTGCTGCTGATCGCACTTGAGTATTATTATTTGTCCCTTGGGTTCCTAGTGGGACATAGGGCATTGGTAGCACGTCGCCATTTCACTCTCTTCTCTCCAGTCTTTCCAACCTGGCTCCACGACTGCCCATTTCTTTCTCACATAATCTTCTCCATGTCACCCTCCGACAACCAAATCACTGTGTCCCATTTGGATTCCAGTCGAGGGCTCTGTCTGATGCGTGATGCCCAAAACGGTCTTCTCACTGCATGTCCAATCCAATCCATCTCCACTTTCTTCTGCATATTTGTTGGGTGATGGATTCTTGGTCGGTCGGTTCGTTGCCAGCCAGAGTTTCTCCTTGCTTATTCTTTCTGGTCATCCATCTGATCTTCAGTATCGAGTGAGAGTAGACGGCAGCTGTTCATGTACGATGTCCGCAGTTTGTTGGAAATGCTTTTCGTAACACACCAAGTCTCTCAACCATCACATTTAAGCACTGACTCGACTAACATTAGTGTTGAAAATCTGGATCTTGTTCACGCTTAATGCTGAGTGCAGTGCAGTAGATCTCCACACTGATTTCAGGTTAATGAAGGCCTGTCTTGCTGTCTTTCCGATCCTGGCTTTGACGTCCTCGTCTGTGCCGCCTGTAGTTGAAACGATGCAGCCTGCCTAGGTAGGTAGATGAAGGAGACAGCTTCCTTTAGATTACCCCTGTTGATTGTGATTGGTTGAGTATCTTCACCACCTCCGTCTTCTCTACGTTCACTTGAAGGAAGTCCCGTCTTCGGTGCCCTCCCTCTTTTTCCAACTTGTTGGTTTTCCCTTGTCGATCTTCGAGTTTGTGCGACATTAGACATAAATCATCATCGGCGAAATCCAAATCTTCTAGGGTCTTTTCATCGGCCCAGCGTATGCCCCTCTTCTCGCTCCTTACGGTTTGTTGCACGATTCAGTCCAGTCGACCACAATCAGGAAGATCATCGGTGATAGTAGGCAGCCTTGTCTTACTCCTGTCTTCACTTCAAAGGCGTCACTGAGCTTTCCATTGTGAATCATTTGGCATGTGGCGCCTTCATTTAGCTGTTGAATGAGGTTGATAAAGGTTTGTGACACTAAAACCATAGTGTTGAAGCAGCTGCCAAATCACTTCTAGGTCGACACTGTCGAAGGATTTTTCAAAGTCGATGAAGTTGAGGTTTGGTTGAGTTGACTGTCATTCTATACTCCGTTCCATGGTCCCTGAATGATTTGTTCTTTCTGAAGCCAGCCAGGCAGCCAGCCTGTTCCGGTCGAAATTTTGAATCCAGGACATCTTTTAGTCTCTCCAGGATGATGCGGCTTCATATTTCGCTTCGGGTGGACAGCAGCATGATTCCTCACCAGTTCTTGCAAAGACTGAGGTTGCCCTTTTTTGGGAGTTTAACAAGACAGCTTTTCTTCCAATCGAAAGGCGCCTTTTCTTCTTCCCAAATTTTCTGCAATAGTGGTGTGAGCATGTCCACTGTTGTCTTTGCGTCTGTTTTCAGTGCTTCTGGTGGAATTAAATCTCCCCCTGCTGCTTTCTCGGAGTTCAGCAACTTTATGGCCATTAGCACTTCATTTCTGCCTCTGTCGGAGGGTTTGTGTTCACTGACAGTTCTGTGGCTTGGCTGCCGGTTGTATTTCTGGACGAGTTGCAGGTGGTGCGGGTCGTCGATTCAACAGTCTTTTGAAATGATTAGCCCACTGTTTCGTTTGTTTCTCCTCTTTCATAACCAGGTTTCCTTCTCTGTCTCTCATTGGTCTCATCTGCGTTCATCTCTTCTCAGATAGTAACCTGATTATTTGATACAGTGTTGTCAGCCTGTTCTGCTTCACTTCCAAGTGTGTTGTAGAAGAGTCTTTTGTCTTTGTGTGCACTCTTCTTCACTTCTCTGTCCAGCGTTTTATAAGTTGTGTTCAGTTCCTCTTTTCGTTGGTCATCCCTGCACTTCACTGCACTAGCTCATCTTTTGCTTCACCATCTTACTCTCCCCTGCTCTATCAGCTTCCATGTGTCCGTCGAGATCCATTCCTTGTCTTGCTTCTTCTTCTTCTTTCCTAACGCGATCATGTAGGTTTCTTTCCATATCTCTTTCAAGCAGTTGCAGTGTTCTTCGATGTAGGTTTCCTCGGAGATGTTGCTTAATGTTCCCCATTTTTCCAGATGGCTGACTGACGTGTAGATGTCCTTTGTAGTTTCATCGTGCAGTTCAGTTTCTGGGTGGGCGTTGAACTTGAACTGTGGTCTATTACCAACTACTTTGAAGACTTTCAACTTGATTTTGAAGGTAGGTTCCTTACACTAGATAGTGAGTGGTGTGAACCTACATCTGCTCCTCTTCTTGATCTTGTGTTCAGTAGGCTGCGTCTTCACTTTCTTCAGACTGAAATGAAGTCAATGTGATTTCTAGTGTATCCATCTAGTGAAATCCATGTAGCTTAGTGAATATCCTTGTCTTTATACAAACTACCTCCAATCACCAAATCATTAAATGAGCAGAAGTCTGCAAATAGTTTTCCATCCTCATTCCTCATTTCACCGAGTGCCTCTCGACCCATGATTTGTTCTCTTCCTGTGTTGTCCGCTCCCAGTTTGGCATTCATGTCGCCCATTCGAATTTTGATGCCGCCATCTGGGGCGGGGTCTTGTCCATTACTGCTTGCAGTTGTCTATAGAATTCCTCCTTCTCTTCATCTGCGTTATTTGTAGGTGCGTAGCATTGTATGATTGTGACTTTCCTTCCTTTTGATTTGAATCTTGCTGCCATGATCCTGATGCACGTGAACGCATCACTGCAGGCTCTGAGTACAATGAAGAGCGAGTGAAACTTAAAAGTAGACTGAGAAAAAGTCTACGCAACGATCGCGAACAGTGGTGGGCAGCGAAGGCTAAAGAGATGGAAAGGGCAGCAGCGATCGGTAATAGTAGACAGTTATTTAGACTTATTAAGGAGACTGGGAGGAAAAGGTCAACAACAATTAGTGAGGCTATAGCGAAGAAGGACGGACCTGAGATTCACTCTCAGGGGAGACGACTGGAACAATGGACAGAACACTTGCAGGAACAGTTAAACTGACCTCCAGCCACCATTGCGTTGCCCGCTATCCAGTTGGATCCTAAATGGAACATTGAGATAGACCCCCCAACACTAGCAGAAGTCGAGAAAGTAGTAGGTAACCTGAGACAAGGTAGGGTAGCAGGACCAGACGGACCAACTCCTGAGGTATACAAGGATGGTGGTAGAGTGCTCTTAGTCAGGGTAACGGAAGTGTCAGCTAGTATATGGGAATCAAATACGATCCCCTCTGACTGGTCAAAGTCACTGATTATCCCAGTCTTCAAGAAAGGCGAGAAGTCTTCTTGTGAGGAATCAGCCTGACGAACATAGTGTCTAGGTTTTATAATTCTCCGACGCCTGAGTGGAGCTCAGGAACAGCAAGCCCGAGGAAACCAGGCAGGCAGGCTTTAGACCTGGCCGCGGGTGTATCGACCAAATATTCACGCTGTGCCAGGTCCTGGAACATAGGCATGCTTACAGACGCCCGACAGTAGCCGTATTTCTCGACCTGAAGGCGACATTTGATTCCGTTGATCGAGAAGTCTTGTGACAATGTCCGTCACTGAAAGGCGTGCCTAGTAAGTACATCACGTTATTGAAAGCTCTCTACTCGAACACTTGTGGGCATGTTAGAGCCTATGGCGAGTTGTCCAGGGAGCTATGCTCATCGAGTGGTGTCCATCAAGGATGCCCACTATCTCCATTCTTACTCAATCTCATCATATTCTTATGGAGGTCTCCCTCTCGTCACCAGGTTACACAGAGATTGACCTAATCACACGAGAATTTTCATTAGACCTAGAATATGCAGATGACATTGTCCCGTTAGGTGAAGACGCTGACAAGATTCAGAGTCTTCTGAACACTTTGAGTGGCAATTTGAGAATGTTTGGGATGCGGTCCTCACCACCCAAATGCAGATTGTTGCTCCAGGATTGGTCTTCAGCAGTACAGTGGCTAACAATAGAGAGTGAAGTGGTTGAGTGTATCGACTACCTCACTTACCTGGGAAGTAGGATCAGCCCTGGTGCTTAGCTCAGTGGCCGATGAAATCTCTGCACGGACACAAAATGCTCGACTGGCTTTCGCCAACTTACACCACCTATGGAGCCGCCGTGATATCCGATTGTCTATTAAGAGTAGCGTGTACTGCACAGCAGTCCGCTCTGTTCTACTGTATGGCTATGAAACATGGAGACTAAATGATATGGCTTGTAACCGATGTCAGTGGCGCAGATGCATACGTACATTATCATCTTTACGACTCTATACTGAATCTCACCATTTTGTCATGCCTTTTTTCTTTCCTTTTTAATTTTATATTTCTTTTGACTGCATTCTCTTATCTTCATCCTTCATCTCACTACCTTTCTACTTGATGTACTATACTGAGCTGTGGCAACTCGGACCGTTACGCAGTAATGCCTGGTTCTATGTTGAAACTGACTGATTGACCTTGATAGTAGAGATTGGCTCCCACTGCATGAGAGGCTTCGGTGCTCTTGGGGACATCATGATAACGACTCCGTCAGTGTGCTTGTAGTTATTGTCTGGGTGACCGGAGTAAATTATTGACTCTCGAGTCAAGAGTTTGGAGACTTCACTTCCATTCCATCTGCTTTCGCAGATTCCTAGCACTTCTATGCTATGTCTTCTCATCTCTTTTGCAATCTCGGCAGCCTTGCTAGGTTCGTACACGGTGCGGACATTCCATACTTGCGTTCTTACTTTCGATTTCATCGAGAGAAGACATATCAACCATTTGGCTTCCCGAAGGCTTTCACCAACCGGCGTCATTTCGTCTCCCCGATTCCATCGAGGAATAAGTTTGTTTTTATTAATAAACTTCTTTTTGTGTTTTGAGGTTTCTTTAAGGATTGGATTGGTTTTACGAGGTAGGGTTGCTAGCCCTATGCCCAACCTTCCCTCTTTATCCGGGCTTAGGACCGGCTAGTAACTAGTGAACTCAAGCAAGCGAGGTTGCACTTCACTATTAGCATCAGCATAAAGAACAACCTATTGAGACACTGACGGTCTAAGATGTATGAGGAAAAAATCGTTTATATTCGGACAAGAGAATTCAGTGAGTGACGACGATGAACAATATAATTTATAATAACTGGGACATAAAGACTCACTGAAACAACTAGCTTTGACTGGCTTGTGATATCCTGTGTGTTACCTCAATATCCTATTCTGTTTAAATCTCCATTCTATTGAAGGGTTTGGTAGATTAAAAACACTACTCCTTAGTCTCTAACCTGCTTTCCATGAAGTGAGTGGAAATTGACTTAAGTGCATCAATTCATAGTGTTTTTTACGATAGTTGAAAGTCAACTAACTAAATTATTTTGTCATAGCTTTATAAAACGCTCACTAAGTTTCTCAACTAAGCACTAGTAGCGTATTCACAGTGGTAGTGATTAACTGGACGTTTAAGAACATTTCTAATCATAACGGCCACGATAACTGTATAGCGAAAATCAAAATTATTCTACTACAGGCCAGATTTCAAGTTAAAATGAGTCTACTATATACATACAATGATGTTATCAGTCGATGCTTCATCATATTCCGCGCAAATGATAGGGTGAGGAGCGATTGGTGAGCTACACTTGCTGGTCGTGGAGTGTAACAAGTGGTGAACGGAGTCCACGTAAAAATACCTGGATAGGATGTTAGGGCTTTGTTTTTGGTGTCCGCTGGGAATAAATAAAAATATTTTCTCAGCATCTGCTTAGCCAGATCTTTACCGGATAAGATTAGCTTATTGGAATTCAGAAATATTGGCCTGTAAACTAACAAAATAGCCCATAATAGTAGATAAGGCATTGTATTTGTACAGTTCCAACAACAGTACTGACTGTTATCTGGGACGACGAACATTAACAAACTCTAAGGCTTAGTCTACTGGAACAACCGAATAAACAATTCAATCTAGAGTGATTAAGTGTTACCGCAAATTATAACTCGATACTCTAAAATTGGCGAGATGGACAATATGCAACCAAAAGCCGTGACACTTACCTGAGTAACCTGTCGACTTTCGTGATTTCCTCTTAACAAAGTTATTCTTTCAGGATACTTAGCTTTCAAAACAAGCAGGAATGTTAACGTCTCTAGGCTGTAGTACCCACGGTCTACAAAGTCTCCCATGAAAATGTAATTTGTGTCAGGTAATCTGCCTCCTGTGCGAAACAGCTGCAAAAGGTCGTAGAACTGTCCATGAATATCTCCGCAGATAGTAACAGGGAAGTTAACAGGTTGTACATTACATTCTTCGATTAACAGCTCACTAACATAGTTGCACAGTTCTCGCAATTCGTTTTCTGGCAAATATTTACAAGTCTTAACAGATTCTATCCACTGATCTAAATTCATTTTAGAATTGAAAGGTTCTCAGTACATGACCACTAATGCAACGCCATAGTCAATAATAGCGGTGGAAATTTTTGCTACAATTGGTTTTCAACATCCAACATCCATAACGAGTTTACATGAAACCGGTAGTTCTTTGATCTTTCTTATCTAGTTCTTTGGGCTATCTTTCTTTGTTCGGCTTTATTCTTTAGTTGGTAGGGAAATCTGCTACGCTTTCCTTCTTTTAGCTCATCCAATCCAATCCAATATTGATAGTGCGAGCGTAGAAAACTAGTAGTTTTGATCTCTCGCGTCTAGTTCTTAGGGCTTGGTTCCAGTTGTTCGGTTTACTCCTGCAGTGGACGAGGAAATCCCCTCTGCTTTCTTGCTTTTAGCTTCGGTGAGGTGGATGTTTTGTGGGTTAGTAGGTTGTAATTTGTAGAGTGATTAGGGAGCTACGGGTTGCTGGGAAGTTTAGAGAACTGCCATGACTCCTGTCTGTGTAGGTACCTGGAAGAGAATAGTAAGGTAGTGGTAAAGGAATGAAGAGAGAATAAAGAAGAGAGTGAAGTAGCACCATAGAGACTCTGGGAGCTGGGTTAAGGCCGTATCGCTAACCATCCTTGCCTTTAAACAGGAGTTTGCGTAGATAGCCACTCCCCCTCCTGCTCTATGTTCCCTGTCCCTGCGGAAGAGTTCCATGCCAGCAACACGCATCTCTTCGTCGGAGATGTCCGATGAGAGCCAGGATTCGGTGATGAATATGATGTCGTAGTGCTGATGTTCACGCAGCGTCCTCATTTTTGCTACCTTCCCTCTTATCCCCCTAACGTTGCTGTACATACATATTAGAGTGTACCTGATGAGAGGGGAGGTCTGGATGTGTATTTTCGCGGGATGAGCGCATGTGAGATATTTTTCGAGGGACGGTACTGTAGTGTCACACACTTCTCCAGAATCAATAACCTAGGGTTCAACTAGATTCAGCGTTGATGCTGACCTTGATAGTTTTACCGGACTCCCTAAGCTGAAGGTATCTGGTCAAGCATCCTCGCCATTTGGCACGTCGTCGTGTTACGTTGCGCTGCTCGTAAACAATCCTCTAGCCAGTTAGTTGGAAAGCAAGTTCGTCTGTAAAGTTCACACCAGAAAAATCCTTTTGGTACTTTTGATGCAAAAAACAACACCCAACATCACTAGTGCTAGTACAGAAAACTTGTAACTTTTGTGCCCTCGCTTTCAGGTCTTGAGACTCGGTTCTTTTTGTTTGATTGTACTTTTCCGATGGTCGCAGAAGTCTTTGCATCTTCCTGCTTACAGCTTTGCAGGTAGTGATTTTCTTTTTGAAGGTATTTGTCTGCAAAGTTTAGCTTGTTTTTTTTATTTAAGGGAGGCAACGGAGCTGCTGATAAGATCAGTCAACTATTTGCGATTCCTGTTCTTGTAGGCACCTGCAATTAAGTGTTAGGCGTCACTTAAAAAGTTCCAGAGACAGGTCGAGTGGGGGATGGGAAAAAGAGAGGTGAAAAGCACTTATGAAACGATAAATGATACTGGTAATAATATGGAGGAGAGGCGATTCTTATTGCAGATACAAGGGCTGGGGTATACGATGGTGAGAGGGTGCTTCAGCAGTTGCTACTGGCAAATGTTCGTGATGAGCCATTTGCACCCGTATACTCATCCAGCAGTCTTTTGAAGGAGTTGACTGGTGAAGCTGTGGCCACTTCCTTTGGCAGAGCATTCCATAAGGCATATACTCTCATCTTTGCCCTATGGTGGAGTATACGAGTGGGGTTCCCACGGGACTGTCGGTTTTGGACCGACAACGTCGTCCTATTGGGAGGTCTACTTGGTGAGTGATCTTGTAGGCTGTCGTCAGGTCACCTCATTTCCTCCGACAGCTTAGTACGAACAAGTTGAGCTGTCTGAAGCGTTGCGCATATGTTTCGCCTGTTAGTCTGACAACCAACTTTGCCGCTCTTCCGTGTACATTCTCTGGAGTATTTGCGTCTCTTTAGCAATCGGGGGGGGGGAGTGCTATCGTGTTGAACACCTCCAGCTGTGGTGTAGCACAGGTTTTAAATACTATAAGGAATAATCCTGAGGTTAACGATCCAAGATGCCCCCTCAAAAAGTGCATGACGGCGTTCGCCTCTGCTACAATTCTCTTATAATTGCCCGTAGTATCTAGCATATCGAGAAAGTGTAATCCCCTTCTCTGTGGATACCATGGTCGTTACACACTTGCTAATAGTGCAGCTGATTTTAATCGCCTCCGCCGCGTGAAGATACGTCATCTTGCATTTCCCCAGGTTTCAGCTTAAACCGTTCGCAGCTGACCAGGACTCCAGTTGCAAAAGATCGACTTAGAGTATCCTAGGATCCTCTTCCTCACTTATTGTCCTCTATATTTTGATACCCCCGGCAAATAGGATGACAGACGAGATTTTTATTGGAAGGTCATTTGTGAATAGTAAAAATAGGGGTGTTCTAAGGATGGTTCTTTGAGAAGCTCCTGTTCTTACATTCCTCCAGATTGATCGAATTCTATTTACTTTAGTGCAGAAGTTTCTATCCTCCGGGTATGCTGTAAACCATGCCAACAGTGGTTTACTGATACCAACTTTTTCAAGTTTGGTGAGCGTCGTGCAGTGTGGGACGCCATCAAAAGCTTTGGCCAAGTCCAAGAAGATAACGTGAACTGGTTGTTTGTTGTCCCACCTGGTGGTGCAGTTATCCTAAGCGGTCATCAGGTAATAATAATAATAATATATTTCATGCAACAAAGGTTACATGAATACACATGGCACATGGCACATGACCGTCCTGTTCTGAAGCTATGCTGGGTGGAATGAATGATGTTGTTTCTGTTCAGGTAGTCCAAAACAGCATCTGCAACCAGGCTTTCCAGCACCCTAGAAAGTATGAGAAGTAACGCTATTAGTTTGTACTTACATGGGATTTTCGGTCTCCTTTCCAGAGTACTGGTGGAAGGATGGCGCGTTTCCATTCTTTGGAAGGTTGCTTCGCACCTGAGCACGGTCGCGTAGGACCACTGGTCTTATATCGTCACGACCCTTATTCTGAGTGTTGAAAGTCTCACAGACAATTGGTTTGACGAAATCTTTGCGACCATCGGCTTTGTATCACAGTCCTAGGATCTCGTTACATTACTAGATCTAGATAGCGGATGCATTGCTGGGTTTAGTTGCTCGTCAAATGGGCTGCTCAAAGGCTCCTCTATCTCGCTGCTGCTGGAAAGTTTCTCCTACCGGACCTAGGATCAGGTTTACACCCCTATTCGTCGGTTTGGGCGGTGACACGAACCGATGTAGACCCTTCGGGCTGTAACTTAACCGTTTATCCAGGTTGTTCTGGTATATTTACTTGTCACTGCGAACTCTTATATTACATAAAATACGTAACGCCTCGTACCAAAGACAGTCTGATTTTTTGTGTGATGTACGCCACTGGTATCACGCCTCACTTTCCCTCCGTGTTTGCTTTTGGGTTGCACGAGTTACCCAAGATAGTTTGAGGGGTGTCCATCTGGTTGATTCCGGAACACTGTTTTCGATAGCGCTCTGGATAATATCTTTAATATACATCCAGTGTTCGTCTATCGATAGTGAGTGTCATTCTTGTGGCAATGCAAGATCCAAGAGTTCAATGCTCGTGAGGTGGTAGTCTGCTTTTTGGCAACAGTGGAATGCTTCTGCCTCAACTACCAGTAGTTTCTTCTTGGTTATCGGAAGAAATCTCGCCAAGGCTTCGTCGCCTTTACCCACGGGGGTTGGACACAGATATCATCCACCAAAACATCATCGTCTGTTAGAAAGTAGTCAAGAGGTGATCCTTTTCCATCTGGTGTTTTCCCCAACCTTCTCTTTCAGCCATGTTACCACGAACGTATCTCGAAGGTTGTGTTCAAAAGACTTATGCCCGTATCTTACTTCACATCCTAGGCTGAGTGCTGGTGTGCAAGAGTCTCAACCTAAGACTACACAGCCATGGGCTGCCTAGGTGGTTGTTGAAATGGCACCGAGTAATTGTACCACATGCTCTGTCATGCAAAGGGGAGGCCTATATGCCACTCCTAATAGGTGTTTGGTTTGGTTTATGGTGAAATACCACCATGAGGAGTCTGGTAGTAAGCTTAACACAGCCTCAGTCTCCTCCTCGACCTTCAGGTGAATGCTAACATGCATGGCAGCTCCTCCTCCTTCTTTGAGCTGCCTGCTCTTTCGCGACAGGGTCATGCTAATCAAAGATATTTCCTCATCCACGATGTCTGATGACATCCATGTCTCCATGATGAGAGTTATATCTGCTTGCAGATCATGACACATTGTTCTTGGCTGCAGTAGTTCGCTCATAGGACCTCTTACATTGCTATAGAAGCATGTCAAGGAGCTACTTCCTGGACTCAGTGCGATATGGGGACTTGTTTGGAGGGTGGTGTGCCGTAGTATCGGATTTTGATCGCCGGTACCTACTGGACAGTTCGGGAGTTCTATACACCACCATGGTTGCAGCTTTGTGCAGATCACTAAATGAAGATTTCTCTGCGCCTCTCTGGTGACCCAAGGTGTGTGTAGTTTCACTCTTATACAGGAGCCTGGAGTGTGTGGTCGGTTGTAATTTTGTTCAAGTAATGATTTTCTTCATACCGGATGCAATTTGTGTCCAATTCACTTCGAAAGTCTATAATTTTACCGATTTCCCCAGAAAATCTTCGAGACGTGCATCGTGAAAGTCTAACTTGCTATAACCTTGACAGGTTGACATTATTGTTATTCTTGCAAAGTAGTTTCTCATAACTGTTGGACTCTCTGATAAATAAATCCTGTCCAGTTCACAAAGTGGTTCTGACCAACGCTTCTACAAACCGACAAACCTCATAAAAACTGTCGAAGTCTGGGGATAATGGGACTCCTGAAGATACAGTCTTCATGAAATTTAACAAGATGTTTAACAAGACAAATCACTCAACATAGAAAGCAAAATATTGCCAATAAGTGGCAGACTACATGCATGCACCTAAAGGTACGTGGCTGATAGGAGAGTGCGAGTTAATTATCATGAACAATCGTCCCTTGG